ATGATGTGTATGATGTGTGTGGACTGTGAAGCACTGGCAGTGTCCGTGGAGAAAATGTATAAAATGTAACGTTTTTGAAATGGATGCATCTGACTGGTTGCATTTGAATTGAGGTGCGTAATAAATAATGATACTGTTCTGTGAGGATGCGCAGTTTTCTCTTTTTTTCCCCATCCCATCGAGACCGCTATGTCCGAGATCCTACGTAAAAGACCGGTCTCGAGAACTACAACACTATGAGTAACACAAGGAAGGAAGGGCGGCTACTTACTGAGGAAAATGTTAGAAAATCTTCAGGGGGCGCTAAACAGTAGGAAGGCCGACACTAATGCAATGTGATGTGAAATTCACAAGGGGGCGTGCTGGTTAAGGACAACATTTGATATAAAGGCCAGATGAGAATAATTTGATAAAACTAAGATGAACTGAATACAAGCTACCATCAACGTGTCCAGCATCATTCAGTAAGGAAATGTAGTTGCTGTCATAATTAGTTCGCCGAACTAAAAGAACCTCAGCTATTTCTGCTAACAGACCCAAACAGGAAGTTGGATGAATCAGTGATTTGTGAAGTCACCAGTAACTTGGACGCCTGCTCATCCCTGCTTGTTATGGTAAGTGGACAGTACTAATGATTTTTGAAATCTGAAGTGCTTATGTGCCTTAGTGGCAAATCATCATAAAAAGGTCAGTTTGTTTTTATTCTTATTTAGTATGTTGCGAGGCAAAGGGGTGGGCAAGAACCACAAACAACAACACAGAGATACAGTGACTGTGCCGGAGCTGCTGGAAGACAGCAATTGGGAGCCGGGTAATTCAGCAATGTCCCGGTGGTTGTGGGTTTGAATCTCATGGTCGGCAGAGTACTCATAACACCACTGGGCCCTTGAACAAGGCCCTTCAGCCCAAAAACTGCTCCAGAGACATAGTCGCTATACCTGCTCTGCCCCCATTAAAAGTGGCTTTGGACAAAATCGTCGGAGTAATAATGGAGAGATCCAGAAAGTCTGGGTGACATCTTCATAAATAGTGCAGGTAAATCGTATGACACATGGAGGTACCTCTAGCCGGTGCTATGTGGTCTTTCTTCATGTGCTTCTTGATGAGCTGGTTGGTGCGGAAGGTCTCCGAGCAAATGGAGCATTTGTACGGCCTCATGTTGAGGTGCATGATCATGTGGCGGTTGAGGCTGCCGTTGGTGGTGAAGGACGCGTCGCACACGCTGCACCTGAAGGCTTTCACACCTGGAGGGTAAGACATGGAACACCGTCGAGATCCCCACATTCGCGCGTGATCGCCAAGGTCACCCTGCGGAGACGAGCTCCGGGCCTCACCGGTGTGCGTGTTCAGGTGGGACTTCAGCACGCCTGCTGACACAAAATTCCGGCCACACAGATGGCACCTGTAGGGCTTCTCGCCCGTGTGTGAGCGGACGTGCTGCTTGAGGTGGCTCGACTTCTTGAAGCCCTTGTTGCAGAAGGAACACCTACAGTAGGGCCAAGGGTCAGCCATTATTACTAGATACACAACTGTCTCCCTGGACAACAATGAACAGAGAATCAGATGCATCACAGCATGTAACTCCACACAAGAAACATACACACCCAGGAACAGTTTTGCTTGCTCCCTGGGATAGATTTGCTTTCTTTCCCCCTAAAAATAATACTCCACAAATACTGTAGGTATTAAAAGTGGCTGGTTGGTGCGGAAGGTCACCTAGGTATCATAAAAATTAATCTGGTGAGAAAATAACATTCCCAGCCACCCAGGAAACAGCAGTTTGTCCAGACAGATAAGTCAGGATAATGACTGCAGCACCGTAAACAAAGGCATGGTCCAGTGGACCGGGACACAGCATACAATATCTCACAACGCCCACTTTCATGGTCTGTCCTTTCGGCTGTCAACAAGGATAGCCTTGGGCAGTATGAAGGTATTACGGTATACCCCGGGACGTAGAAATCCCAAAGGTATTCATTTTAACAGTCAAAAATTCAGATGCTTCTTTTTCTATTAATCTGATACGGAGATGCTCTCCTGAGGCGATGTGTTGCAATGCAGAGCACATGCCACCAGAGGTCAGTTACCTGGCAAAAAACAACGATAAAGGTGAGCCACTTCATTTAATTTTCATTCTATTCTGAGAATATTCGTGAACATTGTGCATGTGAATAAAGTTATCTGGAACACAGAAGTCGCAACATTTTTTTTACTGGTGAAAAATACAATTTTAAAATTATATGAATTTATTACAGCAGGGAAGTAAGCTAGCAGAAGAATAATTTGGTAGAAAGAAGTAGAAAAGAAATAATTTGCTTGTGTTGCACACAGAACAAATATGTAATATAATTCGCAGCGATCGTGCACAAGTTTTTACATTCAAGTGTTTACATTCATGCTACTGTTAGAATATCATTTAAATACATTTTCCATACAACCCAGGGGGTTGGTTATGTGGTATGCTCTGCAAAATAGTGATGTCGGTAACGAAGGGTGTCGTTTTTAACTCTAAAACAAGGAGCGGTCTCCACGTTTCCCTAATGCTCAACTTCCACACTGATGAGCTCGTCTCAGCTCCTGTATTCCTCCCTATACCCTCCTGGAGAAGGTCACACGATTGCCATGTCTCAGCTCCTGTATTCCTCCCTATATCCTCCTGGAGGAGGTCACACGATTGCCATGTCTCAGCTCCTGTATTCCTCCCTATATCCTCCTGGAGGAGGTCACACAATTGCCATGTCTAAGCTTCTGTATTCCTCCCTATATCCTCCTGGAGGAGGTCACATGATTGCCATGTCTCAGCTCCTGTATTCCTCCCTATACCCTCCTGGAGGAGGTCACATGATTGCCATGTCTCAGCTCCTGTATTCCTCCCTATATCCTCCTGGAGGAGGTCACACGATTGCCATGTCTCAGCTTCTGTGTTCCTCCCTATATCCCTCCTCTTCACCTACAGAAGGCAGCTATATGACATGAAGGCTGTGGCATGACTCCTAAAGCCCTTCCCGCACGCTGACCTGTAGACCCTCCGGCTGTCGTCATCGCTGTCCTCCTGGAAGTCCTGGGCGGGCATCTGGAGGTCGTTCTGAGGTGGATCCTGCAGCAGACGGCTCGTCTGTTGAAATAAAAGGAGGGCAGCAATAAACCCCATGCAGGTGCACCTGCTACACAGGCTCACAACCTGCTAGGACTGTGCACTGTGTGTGCTAATAGGCTATAGGGGTCAGATGAAGATGATGGGAGGCCGCCACCTCAGTGCTGGGCACGTGCAGCAGGTTCTGGGAGTGGTAGCTGGAGGACAGGGCCTGAGACTCCAGGGTGCTGGAGTCCTGTAGCTGCTGCACGGTGGGGAACTGGGGCTGCTGGGAAAAGCCGTCTGCCATGGGGAAGCCTGTAGTCACACGAGAAGGAAACGTCACTCAATCCACACACTGCATGCCTCTCTCAGGAATGTTATAATACGTCATCCGGTCCGTAAGGGAGCCATTTCCCCAAGTTCTTGAGTTAGATTGTATGCATTGTAAAGTGTCCTTGAGTGTGAGAAAGGCACTATATAAAAATATTGTTCCCGCACACTGCTTGCTGTGCGCTCAGAATCACGCTGACACGTTGCATGTAGAGCAATTATTAATATCGATATATGTGACTATTACGTAGGATCTAACAGGGGCTAAAGAAGAGACTCTCTCAGAAGCTCTCTCTCTCTCCACAAAAGGGAACGAGCCTGGATCCACACTACTGAGCAGCAGGGAGACACGGGAGCCCAGGTGAGAAGCACCAATCGATGTCAGAAGGTGAGCCTTCCTGAAGTGCCAGGGCCGTTACCTTGTGTCAGCGTCTGCTGGTCGAAGGCTTGCTGAGGCAGGCTCTGCATCTCAAACTGGCCGATGTTCTGAGGCAGAGCATGCTGGGACGTCACCAGTGTGTCTGGGAACATTGGAATAGGAGGTGTGGGGGGTGGGGCCGGGGGGGGCTTGGTTAAATACAGAAAGCAGCAACAAAGTTAACACCTTATTATGCCTCTGCCTGAGACAAGGGGCCTCGCAAGTTAAAGTAATTAGCTAAGCATTTCCAAGACACTCAATCTGCATTTAACTTCCAGGAAGGGAAGGTCATTCAGGTTCACACAGGTGGCTGCAATCATTATCTGTAGCTGCAGATTCTTTTTACAAAGTTTGAAACTCAAAAAACAGCCATGACCATAAACACAGAAAATTCTTTTTACAGGAAAATTTATCGTCCGATTATCTCCATGACAGATACCATTTGGATGATGTGCTGTGCTGTCCCAGTTATTCAGCACAACAGAGAAACACAAACACGCACATATATACACACACATACACAGATATATAATTTGAATGTCTATCTGCTTGTAAAGGGCTGCGGACCAGTGCAGTGTGACTGTGGCGTCATTCTCTTTCCCCTAATCAGGCAGCATCAATAAGGCACCCGGCTGGCTGCTTATCCCAGCTGCACTCTCGGCCTTTGAAGGCATTTTCAAAGCACGGGCCACATGGTGAAGAGTTCTCTTCAGAGCTACCATGAAGCTAAGAGACGAGGCTACCGTTTAATCTCAGCTGGGCCTCTGCCACCCATTTCTCCGTGAAGTACCCTCTCCTTTAAGCCGAGCTTGGGGGGCGCGTCCATATATTTATGACCTTTACTGCCAAGTTTGTCAGTTGCTCAAACACCAACTAAACCCTTGCGAGACTGACTCTACAGAAGACAGAAGATGTTCTTAAAGTGCCGTTAAGAGTGTCTCTGCAAAAACACACACTGTCCGTATTCAGCTTCTAAAACGGATTAAGTCGTTTAAATTAGGGCGCATTAGTAGCTCGTTGGGAAGACTGACCTGGGAAATATGCAGCGAAATGCAATCACATATATCAGCAAATGCACCGTTCAAGCTGAGCCAACGCCTCCACAAAATAACACCATTCATATAAATTAACCAATTAAATCTTCACAGTGACTGAGCCACCCTTCCACTCCAAAGAAACCTGTTTAAGGCTTTTTTTCTTCCCCACTGGGGGCCCAGATACTAGCTGTACAACTGATCAACCCAGCGACCATGCGGTCAGTGGACGCGCTTCCATTAAATCGTGCCCTCATGCCGTTCCCAGGAGTCAGAGGGATGCTCTTGCCGGTAAGTGCTCTGGCTCATGGTGTGCCATGTTCCGTCTTATTCCGGGCCCCTTTTCAGAGAAGATTCACTCACACTGCACAGCAGCTGGTCACGATCCTCTCAACTTAAAAGGCTGCCTTTTAAGTGAAATCTCCGCGAGGACAGACTGGCCCGACTCACCTTCGTCCTGCCCCAGCGGGGGTTCGGCCAGCTGCTCCTGCAGCACCTCCTGCTGGGAGCCACCCACCACCTGCGCTTGGGGCAGCCCCAGCATGCCTTGCTGGTCGCCACCCACGGCCGGCGACTGCTGCAGAGCGTCCGCCTCTATCTCCACCTGTATGGTAGCGCCGTCTCCCACGCCGGCCATGGAGGTGTCGAGGGAGGGTTCGCCAGACGCCTCCTGCCCCTGCTGTTGCAGTTGCTGGGCGAGCTCGTACCTAGCAGAAGTGAAGGGGGGGGGTGGGCTCTCATTCACTCATCTCAACAGTCAATGGGGCTTTAAAACAACTAAAGAAAAAATATGTCTGCTGATCTGTCTTCCCTCATTTAATCCTCACGGTTGCCAACCTTGGATCTGTCAGGGTCTTAATGTGAGGAGGTAGGGCTGACCAGGTGGGATACGAGCATATGGAAACCCCGCCCACAAGCCTGGGCTCACCTGTGCGTCTTCATGTGCTTCCGGCAGTTGGAGGAGGACTTGAAGGTCTTCTGGCAGTAGGGGCACATGTAGGGCCGCACGTCGCTGTGCGTGGTCATGTGGCGCCGGAGGCTGCCGCTGGTGGTGAAGGTGCTGTCACACATGAGGCACTTGTAGGCCTTGAGGCCAGAGTGCGTGCGGATGTGCGACTTCAGGACGCCTGACGAGGCAAAGCCCTTGCTGCACTGGATACACTTGTACGGTCGTTCGCCCGTGTGGGACCTGCAGACAGAAAGGCACGACTTTTACGAGTGAGCTGGGAGAAAGGCTCCTGGTTTCTGACATCGACTGGTACCCCTGCCAGGTTTAACGCACATACTGTACTAAGAATAAGAGCAGGGCTGAAATCCCAGAAACAGTAGGAACTGCCTTTCAGGGCATAGCGCTCCAAAATTAGGGATGAATACTATCGATCACTGAGCTGTCTTGATTTTTATAAATATTTTCAATGGTAAAAAATTCAAGTAAATTAAGTTTGAAGTCAGCACAGTAGGAAACACATGAGAAAAAATACTTTGACTCTTTCTGACTCTTTGAGGACTAAAAAACTAAGACTCAAACACGTGACAAGAATGAAGGGCAGGAGAGCATTTAACCCTCTGGGTCTCCCCACTCTGGCCCACCTCACGTGCTGCTTCAGGTGACTGGACTTCTTGTACGCCCTATTGCAGTAGGGGCATTTATAAGGTCTGTCGCTGACCATGACATCCAGGTACTGCTGTATGGACAGGCTGTTGCGGGGATTCTGGTTTTGCACAAGACCTGCATCAAGACAGAAAGACATCAGCTGATGTACGGTGGACCCAAAACCCTCAGCACCAAGGTCTTGTAAGGTTACCCTGTTCAGGTCCCAACCAGCAGGGGGCCCCGCTGGAGTGCTTAAATCAGGGGTGGGCAATCTTATCTTTTAGGGGCCTGTATGTATGCAGCTGTTCAAACCCAGATGTGAGGACTCTTCAGCCAATCATTCCTCTAATTAGTAATCTACTTAAGGTGTTGCAGCGAAAACCCTCATACTCATTTATAGATATGGGAGAGCCTCATTGGATAACTGTTTGAGCAATAATAATAATAATTTATTATTATTGTTATTATTATTATTATTATTAGTAGTAGTAGTAGTAGTAGTAGTATTATGATAGCGGAGTGGCTAAGTGCAGCGAGCAGCCTTGCGTCCGTCCACTAGGGGGCGGCATACCCAGGTCTGTGATGAGGATGGGCTCCTGCAGTGGGATGTCCGTCAGAGGCAGGCTGCTCTTCACCACCCGCACCCTCTGTGCCTTGCGTGCGTAGCGCTGCTTCTTCTGCTGCGCGGTCTTGAAGTGGGACGCCATGTGGGTCTTTCTGTGCCCCGACGTGCGGAAGATCTTCTCGCAGTGCGGGCACGGGAACGGCCGCACGCCTGTGGGAGTGGACGACAACACTGGGTCGTGCAGAGCAAAGGGAAGGGACGGCGAGGCTGCAACACGGCTGCAAAAACGATTAATCGCTTAACAACTGCACATCTGGATAGAGAAATGCGGCCTCTGCATTACTCTGACCTCGCAGCTCTATTTGCATGGTCCATGCTGACGCCTTCCCAACATCTCAACACAGAACTTACAGTAACAATTATTATATGGTAATACTGGGCTGATGCTAATGTTCTCTATTGAGAACCTTGGATGAGGACTTAATTTGCTTCGGTGTTTTTGCATTACTGGTATAAGGACAAAGGCTAATTACATTCAGTTTAGTCATTACTGCGTAATTATCCAAACGGATACCAGGAAATAAGCACCCAAGATCTCTGCTGAAAGTTTATCGTTAATTCCACAGTAAGAGTTACTCTTACGTAACTGAACAATAAAGAATAAGCAAGCATTATTCAATCAGACAAACAATATTGGAGTAACCTTAACCTTAACTTAACCTGATCCTCTCCAGTGAAATATCCATCAGTATAAAAATAAACGCTGTTGCTATGCATAGAAACCATGCACTGGGATATGTGACAATGTAACAGGAAAATGACAAATTCAGAACAACACTGATGGCAGCGGGCGGGGGAGGGGGTTTAGCGCACACACATTACCTCATTAGTAGACCACAACTGTCAAAGTCAGGATCGAAAAGCAGGCAGTGAGGAACAGTGACAGTGATTACATACTTAGATAATGAACAAAATGGAGAATATAACAAGTAAGCTTTTACAAAGACAGATATCTCGTGTGCATTTGCACTACTGACGAGAACAACAGGATGTTTACATCAGCGATCAGACTTGAGTGCTGACAGTCTGTGACTGGATTTCCAAGCTTTATTCCCTAAAGACGGGTTAAGCCAGGCTAATCCGAGTAAACACCCAGTGCAATGAGTAACCAAACATGCATTTAAACAGGCCTGAAGCGGCAGCCACTGGACATGGATGGACGCTGGCCTCACTAATACAGGAGCGCCATCTCTGCCCTGTCAGTTACATTTTGCCAGGACACCACACTGTTACACGGTGCTATGATCCATGCCATCACCTACACTGTTAACGTGCTCATTTGCATAACTGGAATTCTGCATTTATAAAAGGACAGAAGAGCTACCTTTATCCCTGATGATTTCTGTTAGGCTGAGTTTTTGTACAACCTCTGCCTGCCTGGTACTGTGGTCTTTGGGTCTCCCCACCAGCTCTATGATGAGACGCTGACAGATACTGATTGAGCACCACTATCCTCCCGAAATTATACAGCATGTCCCTTTAAACCAAAATGCCTGAAGGACTGCAGCCATCAATCAATACTGATATAAAGCCAGAGCAATCAAACGTTATTGTATTAATATTAGTGTGTTAACTGCCTTTTCTACACGTGTCCAGGGATCAAAATTTCAACAGCAATTTGAACAGCTTGTCTGACAGGAAAATGAACAAACTGCTTCACTGCTTTCTGCAAATGACCATGAGCCTAGGCAGACAGTTTGGGGCTCTGCGCAGTATTCAGAGAGATGGCTCTGGGCTCTACATAGTGCTCAGGCAGACAGCTCAGGGCTCTGCGCAGTGCTCAGGCAGACAGCTCAGGGCTCTGCGCAGTGCTCAGGCAGACAGCACAGGGCTCTGCGCAGTGCTCAGGCAGACAGCTCAGGGCTCTGCGCAGTGCTCAGGCAGACAGCACAGGGCTCTGCGCAGTGCTCAGGCAGACTGCTCAGGGCTCTGCACAGTGCTGAGGCAGACAGCACAGGGCTCTGCACAGTGCTCAGGCAAACAACACAGGGCTCTGCGCAGTGCTCAGGCAGATGGTTCGGGGCTTGGCGCAGTGCTCAGGCAGACCACATAACCACATAACAGGGAAGCAGCAGCTGATGATTCAGAACTGTGAAGATTCACAGAAAAAGTTCTATTTGCCAGATAAGACCAAAACCATTTAAGTGCAGTGCCACCAATGCCCACTAGGTGATGTAATCGCGATATCAAAATGTTGTGGTCGACTGTATCAAAGGCAGCAGTTTAGTCAAGCAAAACCAGAACAACGTGGTTACCAGAATCACACGCAAGGAGAATGTCATTACAGACCCTTCATAATGCAGATTCTGTACTATGAAGGGTTTTAAAGACCGACTGAAAAATCTCTGTAATGCTGTTCTCATCCAGAAAAGATTTTAGTTGACAAAATATAATTTTCTCTAAATCTTTAGAAAGAAAAGGCAGCTTGGCAATAGGCCTATAGCAAGCCAACACAGTATAGTCAAGGCCAGGTTTCTTAAGCAGTGGCTGCACTACTGCATGTTTAAAATTGGCAGGAACCACAGCAGATGACAGACTGCCGTGAATAATGGCCAGAACAGACTGCCCTATGCTAGGCCAAATTTCTTTAAACAATCGAGGAGGGACAGGATCACGAGGGGAACCTGAGGGCTTCATATGGGCAACCACATCCTCTAGAAGTGAAAGAGTCACAGACGCAAACCGAGTAAAAACAGCAGAGCAAGGGACAGGGACAGAAGGGTCAGAGTCAGAGTCTGGTGGTGGCAACCTTTTCAATAAAAAAAGCACAGAAAATGATTGTTCTGCGCAGAGCTCACACTGCGAGGATTATGCCTGGCCAGTTCTCCCCTGGGCGCGGATGATTTAAACCACTCATGGCTGTAAACGGAGAGTGTGAACATGCACGTGTCCTGGCAGGCCGCCCGCGGTTCACGCCTCTTTACTCCCTTTCCAGGACAGGCCTCAGATTATCGTCATGATAACAAAGATAATGAATGGATGGGTGGGTGGTTTGTGGATAAAAGGATATAACTGTCATTAAGGGTTTTGGACAAGCTCCCAGCTGAAGCACCACTGCAGTAACACTGAACAACAGCTGTGTCCTATTCGGTGCAGAGTTTACACATCCAGCCATCTATTCATCCATCCATCCATCCATCTTCCATAAACATTTACACTCATTGTGATCCTGGAGACTATGCTTATATAACAGTGTTGGGTAATGCCTTGAATCCTCCAAACACTTAGTGTGACTATCAGGTGGTATATGGGAACCTCCAGTGATCTGTAAGCCCTGTGTGGGACATGAACTGTATTGGTCCTGGAGTTGATAAAGTCACCTTCCCAGGAAAGATGATAGGGCCATCTCCCCATTGACGTGACCATCTCCCCATTGACGTGACCATTACATCTGCCTGTCTCCTTTGTCAGGCAGCATTTCCATATAAAACTTCTGAAAAACACTGATGCAACCTTCATGAAATCTTGGGAAAGAGGGTGCAAAAATAGGCGTGCGTCAGAAATGAGAACGTACTCACTAGCCCGCCTCTCCCGCGCATCCTCCTAGCTCAGTACTGATGTATATCCAGCACTTTTCACCCGAGACTCCACTCATCACACAAACTACAGGTTTTCAGTTTAGTCCCACCATTCCAATAAATGCATGCTGTCAATCCATGAAGAAATGGGCCACACATTTCCTGGCTAGATCGAAACATTCTCTTCTTGAACCTGAAGATGTGGGGAAATCTGACAGGTGACAGGCCTAAGCAACTACCCGCTCTCCCAGTCCTGCTTGTCAATCCCAGGGCCCAGGAGGCCCCGATGAAGCCACACCCCAAAGCTCACCCGTATGCAGCCGCATGTGGACCTTCATGCTGCCCGAGGTGGAGAAACACTTCATGCAGCACTGGCAGGTGAAGGCCTTGATGCCCGTGTGGGTCTTCATGTGGGCCGTCAGCGTGCTCTTGACAGCGAAGGCGCGGAAGCACTGCTTGCACTTGAAGGGCTTCTCGTGTGTGTGGATGCGGATGTGGCGCACCAGGTCGCTGGGCTTCTTGAACTCCTTGGGACAGTAGGGGCACACGTGCCAGCGGATGCCGTTCTCCTCACGGATGGAGCCTGTGAGGAGGAGGGGACAGCAGTCGGCCCAGATCGGATCCCAGCAACAGGCCGAGACGCCAGGCACCCGCAATGTGTAAATAACACAGATGTCAGACATGATGGGATTTTCCAACCACCCCTCAGCGCCCCCTCTCACCTGGCATTTGCACGTGCTTCTTGTAGATGCTCTTCCTCCCTTTCCGATTGGTCTTGTCCGGCCCGGAGCCCTTGCCCGAATCTGGCGGGCCAGTTGAGGGCCCAGCGGTGGCACTCTCAGAGCCCTGGCTCTGGGTGGCCCGCGACACAGCGCCGTTCTGGGTGTGCGACTGCACCGGAATGGCGCTCAGGCCGCTGTTCTCCAGGGCTTGCTGCAAATGACCACATCAACCTGCCTGTTTAGCCGCAGGGAACATGCTGGTGCATCAAGACAGCGATCTATGAACATCACTGATTCCACCTAGTAGCTTCAGCCACCATTAGGACTGATATTACCATTTGGGGGGGGTCTGACCATGTGGACCACATAAACAAAATTAGCTGTGGGAAAATTGAAGTTCAAAATATATATTTTATCCATATAGAGAGCCATGTTGTTTTGTACAACTGCTCTCATGAACCCAGATCAGATGGCATTATTACGAGGTGTAGGGGCACCTGCAGGATGTCCTGGTTGAGAGCGGCGTCCATGGGCAGCGGCTGTCGTGTACACTGGGCCTGAGGACCGTCCCCGGCCACCGGCTCCGACAGGTCCAGCAGCTGCTGGATCACGTCTGTCACCCTCTCGGATCCTGGGGGAACCTGGACTGACTCCACTGGCTCCTGGTGCAAGAGCATTGGGTGGGACGACAAAGGTCAGCAGATGGGAAGTTTCATTTCCTGGTACAACCCTGAGCTTCTCAGATTCTCAGAAAAACGATGAAGCTGCACTGGCTTCCTACAGTGGGCGCCTTTCTACAGTCTCTTGGAGGACCACAATTACAGAGGTTCCACCATGATAGTCTGCTGCAATTACATCTGCGGCCACAAGCGAAGGGGAGGGCGCCGCGCACGGCCTGGGTTTGACCTGGGGTTGAGCTGGGCCCTCCATGATGGACATGTGCATCTTGCTGGTGTGAGCATGGAGGCTGCCGAGTCTCTTGAAGACGCAGCTGCAGTCGAGGCAGGGATACACCGGTACTCCTTTGGACTAGACACAGGAAGGCAGTGCTGAGGATTAGTACATCATCCATACAGGACATACTTTAAACCTACAAAATACCCATCCATCATCCAAAAGCTTATCCAGGGTTTTATGGAGCCTGAAGCATATCCCAGAAAACGGACATTCGGGGTGGGATGCAAACCAGAGTAGCCAGAGGAAGCTCACATGGGGAGGGTGGGATCGGAGTGCCCTTTTATGGAGGTGTGAGGGGACGCTGCTACCCACAGAGTCACCGTGCCATCCCAAGACCAAGCGGACAAATCCAATCATAAATTAACTGTAAACACGCCCCTTCCTTTCCATAAAAGAGCCACTTCAAAACGCACGCAAGTGAATCATCTGAAGGGCCTGGCGCTCCTGTGTGCGTCACTCTCAGAGGGAATGCGGGACGGCTGCTAAACGGCGGCCCGTCTGCTATGCAGTGCGTGAGCCTATGCGAGGGCTGCCTGAGAGGGCATGCCTTCCGGCAGGACACTCAGCAAGCAAACAACATGCTTTTATATTCATAATATCACTTAATTATCTCCTCTAAAGCTAATATTTGTACTTACGCAATATGAGCAGCTAAAAAACAATACAATGCCGTTATAAAAGCAGTATTAGTAGTAGTAATAATAGTATTAGCAACGACAATACCGAGAATCCTACTAGTGCAACAGCACAATAGTATTTTAACGTTATTCTTTTTGCTGCTGTGCAGTAGTATTAAACCGTTATTATTATTATTATTATTATTAATAATATTTTATGGGTGGGTGTCCATACCCAGAGAATCTCTAATGCTCACGTTTATGTTAAAGTATATCAGTGACACCCCATGTTAAAACCCAACAACCCAGCACTGTGTCGATGACAGGAAACACTGCACTCAAGGAGCCCCCATGAAAACATCAAGCCCTCCAGCCAGTGTGCGTGCCTATCAAGCTGCTTTGGGACAGGTTTGGGCACAAATTTCTCTCAGGACCTTCGAGGTGCACTGGCCAGGATCTGCTGGCTCCCAGTCCCACGAAGATGATCACTCGCTACCGGTGATGTGAGTCACATGACTGCCAGGAGTCACATGACTGCCAGGAGTCACATGACTGCCAGGAGTCACATGACTGCCAGGAGCTGTGAATGGCCCCCGGCTGGCAGCCCTGGACACTCTGTACATCTGCTTAACACAGAGCGGATGATCAGGGAGCCCGTTTAAAGCACCACCGCGGCCATAAAAAGAGCTTGCTTTCATTTCCTCCTGCAATGTCTCAGATGCTTTATACAGAAAACACTTTCAGACAGCCCTATACTGTGAGGCTGTATTACATCTCAAAGCCTCTGTCACAGCTCATATTAGCGGACCTTAAGTGCTCATGCAGGAAGTGCCTGGTGAAGATCTAAACAGTCCATCAAGGGGGATATTAGACTGCCACCCCTGGACAGGTAAACAGGAAACTTCATTGACACAGTGAAAGCAGCAGCTGTTTTTTCATTGAAACCAGTTCTTGAAGGTCCTTTTAGATACTAGAGGCGGGAATCAGCAATGACCTCCCAATGTAATATTATCACGATACCTAGGTGCCGATTCTATATGTATTGCGATTCTATGAATATCTCGATTCGATACTACGTTTTTTTTTACCATTTTTTTCTTTTTTAGAGTTGTAAAACCTTGAACCATGTAAAAAGATAAACTTGAGTCATACCACTAAAGCTTTATTCAATGGCTTCTACTACACACGATGCTGCACTGCCTGTTAATGCGGGATTAGTTTAGAGCATGCCCCCTGCAGGATTATAGAGGAACTGCAATGTTTCTCCACCTCGAATCAAAACATATAAATTATAAAGTAATAAAAAATCAATTTTGGAGTCAGTGTGGCGATATATGAATCACCGCACAAAGGAATTGGGACACATAACTGAATCGATTTTCCCCCTCATCTCTATCAGATATGTAGTAATAGTTTAAAACCTCGTTCAAGAACGTTCCTCTACAGACAGGCATGCTGCTATTACAAATGTTGGATATCATAAATGCACCGAAGCTCCACTGCAGGAGGGCAGAGTGTCAGAAGACCAGTGGAAAGCCTCTCTGCTTCACTCCACCCGTTTAAAGAGAGAGACTGCCTGAACCTGGACGACCCTGCACAGGCCTAACCCTAACCCTAACCCTGGACAGAGGAGGCTACTGCTGCACTTTGGCGCCTCAGCTCTGCCAGAGGTTCCAGAGGCGCCTTCCCTTATCCCCGTCAACCATCACTGTAAGAGTGCAAGGGCGCTCCCTCTAAGTCAAGAGCCAACTCCGTTGTTGATTATTCATACCGATTAGTGGATGCAAAATGTTGTTTATTATGCATGCGGGAAAAACTGTAGACTTCAAAGGCTTGAAAGTTTAAAAACCTCTGAAATTAGAAGTCAGCATCAGAGAGTCCGTTTTCCAGGTAGAGCACAAATTACCCGCACAGTGGGTAGAGCACAGATTACCCGCACCGCGGGTAGAGCACAGATTACCCGCACAGCGGGTGAAGCACAGATTACCCGCACAATGGGTAGAGCACAGATTACACGCACAGTGGGTAGAGCACAGATTACCCGCACTGCGGACAGCAGAAGAGGCTGCGAGCGGGATGCGGACAGATGTCTAAGGACGTGCGGCCTACCTCAGAGTGCACCCTCTGGATGTGCGACTGCAGGTTGCCCTTCTGGGAGAAAGAGGCGGGGCACAATTTGCAGAAGTGAGGCCTTTCCCCCGTGTGCCGCACCATGTGGGTCTGCAGCACCACCTTCTGGTTGAAGGCCTTCCCACAGTGTGTGCACTTGTATGGCCTTTCACCTGAGCAACAAAAACAATGATAAAAACACCACATACTAGGATGACACTAAGCCCATGTAGCAGTAATTATGCACATAAAAAATTAAGGACAAATAAAACTATTCCCCATGCCTACAGATACCTGAAAAGTCCAGCAATGCCACTTTTAAGGCTCACATCGGATGGTCAGAGGTCATAATCTCATTGTCTGAAGATCGGTGAATCCGTAATTAAAGCACACAATCAAAGGTAAGCACAAAAGTGTACTGTGTATATGTATAGAAATCTGGAGGACAGACATTAGTGATTATGTACTGCCCTCTTCTGTCCATATTAGGTATACCATGCAATAATAAGCTAATTTCAATATCGAGACCTGGTCAAGAATTCATATTTGATAGGATTTTACTGAATAATCTGTTGTTGTGAATCAGATTAAACACCCGAAGTGGGAATACAACAGCAGGACATATCCCCTACAATCTGGTCCATGAATCTACAACTACTAACCCGTGTCCTTAAGCGACAGGCAGGACTACATAAAGTCGATGCAAGTTGCCTGTGTGGCTGCCTGTTCAAACTTTACCTCACAGAGTCTGAGGTTAACTGGGGAAAGATGTTGGGCATCCGGGATCATTTCAGCTGCCTCTCAGTGTTATAGAGACTATTGTTTTTACCCACAACAGTAAGCAGAAGAGAAAAGGTGAGCCCTCTACCTGCAAGTCAGAGGCTAGAAAGCGGCAAGCAGGAAGTATGACGTCAATAAAGAAATGGAAAATGGTTGCTTACCAAGTGGACTTTAAACCTCAACCATTTAACTGTAGGACAAAGCATAACTACTCAAACTTTAAGATGCTGTTGCAGTGTTTATTTCCTTTTCTTATTTCAACTTTCCTTTCATATCAGAATTATAAAACTCACATGTTTAAGGAAAAAAACATGTGATTTGATCAAGCCTTAATGAGTGTTAACTGATTAAATGGATATCCCCCCTTCTGCCCCATTGGGTATTTGTGATGCCCAAATTTTTGTTAGTCAGTTATGTCAGGTGTTCAGAAATGAGGTGGGAGACGCTTGAATTTATGGTGCATCTGAAGTTGTGCTGCAGGTAGGAAGAGCCCAAAGGTCCAAAGTAGACAGGGATCATACACACTACCTGTGTGGATGCGGACATGCCGAACCAGCTGGCTGGGCTTCTTGAACGTCTTCCCGCAGTGTTGGCAAGTATTTGTGAAACCGCTCCTGTCTATGTTCTTCTTGTAATTTCTCGAACTTCCTAAAATGGGCCTGACAAAACGAAACCCAGGAAAAGCACACGAGTCAGAATTCTAAATCCCATCTTGCGCTAACATCCATCCCCACCCTTCCCCCGCTGTTGTGCTTGCCTCTTCCGAACATGCATCTTTTTGTGCTCCTTCAATTGTGAGGACATCTTGAAGTCCTTGCTGCAGACATTGCAGGTGTAGACCTTGCTTCCAGAGAGCTCCTTGCGGTGGTCCTCCAGGTGCAGGGAAAGCTGGCTGTGCAGTATGAACTCATCCCCACACTCCGAGCAGATTAGGTTCTGTGGGCAGACAGGCAGATGGGACGCCGGTACTAGAGAGGCCGAGCACACGGCATCAACCAGAAACAAACCCGAAAACAGACAGATAGCAAACCAATAATATTATGCAGGCTTTACCCTTCTGCTTCAAGCATGTACTTGCAGTCGACAGACAAAAAATACTTAGCATACCATATAATTCCCCACTTTTTTCTGTTGATTTTCTGTTCTATTAATTTCCTGGCTTAACTCTTAACAAATATAGACGCTCCTCTACTTACGAACTTTCAACTAACAAACTTTCAGATATACGAACGAAGAGGACTGAACGTCCAAATTATGTTCCTTGGGCTCCCATTTCCTGCCCGCAACTTAATTTTTTTTTCCTGCGCCAATTCTGCCTAGTACGATTTCTGGCCGCTACTCCCGCTGCAGAGCAGCGTAGCGTGCGTACTCCCAGCATTCTAGTTCTTTGTACTTACGTATACCCTTAAAATGATGCTGAATAACGACTTACGAACATTTCAAGTTACGAACGGCCATTCGGAACGTATCTCATTCGTAAGTAGAGGAGTGTCTGTAATGTTCTAGCTTTTGTCACACTGGACTGAGGATCTATACAGCCATCTAGCTGCCTCTGGAATGTATTTCCTGTCCAGAACTACGTAGAATTCACTGTTAAAAGCATGATTTAATAAAAGCTTTTTTTTAAAAAAAAAAAAAAAAAAAAAAGATATCATGTGGCGGTTGGCTTTGGGGTTCCAGACCTCCTCTTTCTCGTGAAGCATGATGTGGGACTTGAGGCTGGCTGCCCGGGAGAACTTCTTGCAGCATACCGGACAGGTGAGGTTTTTAAGGTCGTGCGTGGATTTGTGCAGCGTGAGGTTGAACTCCACATTGAATGACATGGGACACTGGTCACAACGGTGTGGCTGGGTAGGGTGAAGAGAAGACAAGACCTTCGTTTTGGTTCAGAACAAAAGTATGTAACAGGGATGGCACTGAGTAGCTGGTATCTCTTCCTCTTAGCCATCATGGTTTAAGAAAGATTTCTCAATTGTAATCCCAGGACACAGTTCTGAATGTGCTGGTTTATGTTCCAGCTGAGCTACAAACATGTCAACAGTGTCGTTCATTTAAATATAACTTTACAATTTTTGACAGCTATTACATTTTTGTTTAATAAAAAGGTGATTGCTATGGTATATACCAGAGGTCCCCAAACATTTTGATCAAGGATCCACATCAGATTTTTGATTTCAGATTACAAAGTCAGAGATCGGGAACAATTTTCAATAATAAAACTGCATTAAACATATCGATTCATAAGGTGCATTATCAGCTGGGTCAAGTTTAACTTCAGTCTGCATCCACACCATGGCCTGGACTTTGAGAAACCTGCTACATCAGTTCTTTTCTTCCTGTTGTGTTTTGTCTGAGGGCCACAAGTCAGGATTTTCAGAAAATCCTCAATTCAGTTTTATTTGTATAGCGCATTTTCACCATATTACATTGTCTCAAAGCGCTGTTCATTACCTCTGCCCAAATCCACCATAAAGGTATTCTTCATAAAAATAGGTTTACTCCAGACCAGAAGTGAGAGATTCTACTTTTATTAGGTGTGTCAAACTCCACCCAGAATACCTATACGTCAGTTTCATGTCTGCACGCTTTGGTACCGGAGGTTAACCCTTCACCACAGCAATGCCCACACGCCTCTCGTACCTTGTCATTGGCTTCATGGTCACGAAGGTGACGCTGCAGTTGGCTCTCTTTGGTGAATGACTGCGAGCACACCGTGCACTTAAACTCCTTGCTCTCTGTGCCTCCATATCCTGTGTTTTCAGTATTGGATTCCTGCAAATCTTCTACATGGAGAAAAGGACACAAACAAGCTCATGTCAAGTTTGCACAATTTCTCAGTGTGTGGAATGAATATTAAGTCACTGTTAAACTTGGATGCCTTGGTGGAACATGGCTTTGCGCTACAGTCTGGCCAGATCCATAACTTAAGAACACACACACACATTGATGCCAGCATCTAGCTGCAGAACCATTTCCTGAAACAATACTCAATACTAAGTAATTCAAAGATTCATTAGTTTTTTGCTAAGGAACACGTACATTTATCCAGACGGAAGATTAAGCAGATATTCCTTATGCATATGCAAACACGTCTTAAAAAAACTAAGGATATACTTATAGACGTACTAATATGCAATGATATATTTTTAACTCCACTTTTGTAGGTGAACTGAATTTTCCCGTCTTTGTGTACTTAATGATAAAACTTTTATTAGAAAACGCTTGAAATGACACCAGCCATGCAGCCACCAAAGCGGAGTGACAGTGTGCACAAATGACACAGCTAGCTGGGCAGCTAACACAACTCCAGCTTAACCTTACTATCAAACCTCTATCATTTCTAGAAGGACTGGTTTGACTTGTAAACTTTATATATTTTTCATTTACAAGTTCGTCATTCTGGACGAAATGCAAACCCGATAAACATGGTAAGAGCTAGCTAATCAGCTATCCAGGGTGCTAGCGGGAGAGGCACGCGCCGTGCTGCTCAGAAGCTAAAGATAACTACAGTTCGCTTTGCTGGCTGAAATGCAGCGCAGTGCCGAGCCCATTAACAAACTAACTGCACGAAAGTCCACCGAACAGCCGCCTAGCTTTATAGAGGTGGCGGTTAGGAGCACCGTGCACTCGATGCAGTCTCCGTCGGGCTTTCTAAATCTGCGAAAATGGCAGCGCGCTCCCCGTAAATCTCACACACTGGGAAGGGACGATGTCGGCGTTAAATGGGCGACAAAACGTTTATTTAGACATAGTGCGTGAGAAAAGCCACCACAGAGCTCACAGGTAACCCACACGGCTCCGGAGCCCCTCACAACGCACCCGGGAAGCTCAAGGTTCCAGAATAAATAAGTAGAGCGACCGAAATGTCGTTATTATTAATATCATTCCGCCTCGATCCCTCCTTCACGGCACAAAGACACGCACGGGCACCCGCAGCACCATATCCGGGGACTATATACACAACCTTTAACTACTTTTATCTCGGAAGCGCGGCCACTTCTCCGCGCCTGGCACGCCCGAAAGAAAAGCATACACGGTGCTTTATTTATTTGTGGCGTTTTGTTGTCCTTTACCTGTCCCGTCGTTGGTTTTGTCCCTCAGTTTGCGAGGTCGGCCCCGCGGCATAGTTTCTGGATTCAGGGCGGGTGTACTGTGAACGATTTGGATTTCAAAATGGCGGCCTCACGAGGGCCATGAATTTGAGGGCCGCCGTGGCCGCCACGGAAGAGGGAGACATCTAGTGTACAAACAGTACTTGTTGAGTGAAGTGAACGCTGCTCACTGCAGAAAATAATATTGTCAGATTCGATTTGGAGTGACTGCTCACATCTATAGCTATCAAACATGGTCAAGACAAATTATTATTTTATATTTCTGAATCAGAAAGTCTCTTCAGAATGTTAAAAAATCTGTTTGATACAGTATATGCTGTATATGTATTTGGGTATATATATGGGAGGGCCAACTACCTTTGGCAATAATACATGTATGCATGCATGCATAAAAATATAAATAACAAATAAAGGCTGAGAATATGCTTTTAACTTAGTCTGAAGACCCCAATATGCCAGTTTCTGAACCAAAATACCCAAGACATTGTTTTTAAATATAAAAACCACAAGTGACTTATTTGTCAGCATTTGCAATGGTAAAAATATAATCAGAACATCAGTGTTCATATCATATTCAACAAGTTTCAAGTAATGTATTTCTGTAATATCTGTTTAAGTAAATATATGTAAAAACAGATCTTGGCACGATCAATATATAAATGATTTACAAAAAATGGGTCAAATGAGCTGAAAAACATTTCATAATGCTTAGCGCGTGTAATTCGCTGACTTTTCTGCAAGTGGCTGAAATGTATGAATTGCGTGTGCTGTCACTTATTACTTTCAGTACTTTGACAATGACAGTGAGTAGCAACAACCCTAACGTCGTTCGTATGTCTACAAGATGGCCTATTACCTTGCAATTTCTCTGAAAAGAGGGGCCACTGTGGATCTTATCTTAATTTCCCTTCTTACTCATTCTTGTATATTAATAACTGATGCAAATGTATTGCATGTTACACTGGAATCATTTCTAAGAACTAACCAAAAGAACAAGGGGCTTTAAGACTACAAATGAATTATCAGTAAGTTATAGCTTTGGATAGCATATGGATGAAAATTGATGTTCCAGAGTTAGTGACAGATGGCAACATAAGCATGTCATTGAATGTGTCATAGCCTTTACCTACTTTCAGTTTTTATTTAAATTATCTGTAATAAATCATGTCCAAGCTTAGAGAAGGCGCACAATTATGTTTTCTTGTTTATTATGTGAAACATTTAAAATGAGTTGACGTATATGAATTATTTCTGTCTTAATGAAGATGAAGATGTAAGATGTTTCTCCATAAGGTGCTTCAGCTTTTTGAATGTGATTTTTTTCTCCTATGTGTAACCATGATAGATCTTCCATGTTGACTATTAATTCAAACTCCACATTTTCATAGTATTTATATTATGTACATTATGTGCAGTAATAATTCTTGGAAATCACCCTTTACTGCACTACCATAGCCTTCACTGGTACATACTGACTGTTTGTTGATTAAGATCCTTATTATTTTATTCTTATTATTAATATTGTTATTTTTAAATATTGTTATTTAATTTGCTTTGGGATCAAACTATCTATCTATCGATTGATTGATCTATTGCACTGTGAAATATAATTAGATATTTATTTAGTATTTAGCCAAACGTTTTTTGTTACAGATGCAGGGTTGGTCCTTCATAACACCTCTGTTCACTGGTCTTAGTACAGTAGGTCCTCCAATGGACAGCTTGCTTACACAGCGCTGAAAATCAAATCAATAAGTTAGTCCACTCAGCGCTGCTGGGAGACTAAAAAGCAAATTCAGAAAGTTGACTCAAAGTGTGCAAGATAATTAGCTTGTTTTTTTTGTGTGTATTGATTTTTCTCCTCTATATTACAAAGGAAAGCAAAATATGTTGTGTTGAGCTTCATGTCTGCTGAGGTATCACGTATCTTAGAAGACAGCAAGGTAAATGTCATGTGATGTTGCAGCTTAGCATTGTTGAGTATTCAATAGCCAAAGGTAAGATATGTCACAATGCACGGTATGCAAACCTGTAAACTAGGAAAGAAATCAATATAGCGTTGTTTTATAAAATTAGGAGTGCATAGCATTTTGTACAATTAAAGATAAAATTACACAAACACAGCAAGCAGTCTTTATTGTCATTTAGTTAGCATGAAATTAAGTACTTATTAGAAAGGCAGATTTCAATTAGATATGGTTATTCGTAAGGCGTGGGGAGAGTGAGGTGTTGTATGCACTGAGACGTAGATGCCAAGTCGAGAGAACGCTGTGACCACAGATGCTGGCTGAGTCGTTTGCTATGAGATGAACACACACTGGGGACCAAGTTGGAACCAACAAAAGCCCTCTTGGGTGTGCAAATCTGTCTGAATGCAACGTGACACCCCCAGCCAGGGTCTGTGTGCGAGCTGGCTTTCAGAACGCACAAATACTCCCCTTGTCACTTTTTACCTTTGCAGCCAGCCCTTAAAGCCCAGGCGTTAAGCTCTGAAAGGGGACCTGATGCCTGACTTGTTTTTTTTTTTTCTTCTGAACTGCTGGGGCTGGGGAAAAAAGCCGGCAAAGGACGACACCATTTCTGTTTTCTTCTTCTTCTTCTTCTTCTGTTTAAAAACAAAAAGGGAAAAAGCAGATGTGAGTCGGTTGATCGTTTTCTCTTTTGTGTGCTGACTTGCGTTTTGAGAAGTGGAACCCTGAGACTTTTCTGTACCGTGTTCTAGGTCAGTGTTTCCCAGTCAGGTCCACGGGGACCCGAGACCGTCAACGTTTTTGCAGAAATGTGGACCGTCTGGCAGGGAGCGGGGAGGGAGCAAAAACATGTCTGGGAGTTCCCAAGGACCGGGTTGTGAAACAGTGTTCTAGGTAAGAGGATTCATAACAAGGAAACCTGAGCCAGTTCAAACACGCCTACACTCTATTTTGCCCAGGCCCTATTTCAGGATGCTTTAAAAGACATGTATAATGATGTTACTACCCTAGCTAGTTTGCGTGTCTTTGATGATGTAGGTAGGAATGTGTTACATAAAACACAGTACTGAAAAGTGGATTTCTGAGCAAGAGCTACTTCGAGTTTCTGGAAAAAAAAAAAAAAAAACGGGCAGGATGTGTCAGCAGAGGGCAGTGGCGAGTAACTGACAGGAAGGGCAGGTTAGTGGGTTAATGAGGAAATGAGAATTCACTAAACCGACACCAGGCCACAGATAATCGGTACAAATCTTGAAAGTTTTAGTTGACAAATCTGCATTTTATTACTTTGCCGATGCTGTTTCTTTTTAGATTTTGGGAAGATGTTTTTTTATTTGTTTGTTTGTTTGTAAAATACACTACGATGACATTTAACAGCCCATAGTTTGTGGAAGTTGTTAGAGAGTGAAAATGACAAAGATCTTTGGCTACAGCTGGTTTTCAAAAGGAAATCATATATGAGAAAACCTCTGGCTGAGAGACCACAAGTCTTTGCATGTGTGGTATATAAACATCAGTAGAGCGTATCTTTTGTTTACTATCAGACTCTTCACACAGAGAAGCAGTTGAGGTCTAACCGCTGGAAAAAAAAACGCCATCAATCTAACAACGACAATGGAGCTTTTAGAATATCAATGAGCGCAACTGAGCGCTTTTTAATTCAACATCCCAAACGACATATCGGCAGTGATGGAATCTTTCCCAGCTCCGTGAAATCCCCTGAATAAATAATCACATTGCAAAGATACAGGAAGAAGGAAAACTGAAAGAAAACATAACTTCTAATATGGATTGAGAGGTCACACTAGGGGCATCAGGAGCAGCATGCAAATGGAGCGGGGGGGGGGGGGGTGGCAGGGGCAATAAATCCAGAAGGGAGTCAAACTTGAGAGGACAAGAATTTGGGCCAGAGACTAGTTTGGACCATTTACGACCCACTTTCAATGGTGCTGATTGAACCCCACCCTGTGATTATGCCAAGCTCAGAAATGTCACCCTAAACCAAACTGCATGTTACACAAGAAGGGCTGACTCTTCCGTGTTTAAATGGTGTACCTCTGGTATTTAAACAGCATGGAAATTAAGCAGGCTGTTTGCAACCCTAAAAAACAACCTTTTTCCCAATCACGTCTTTCTTTGCTGTGTTGTCAAGAGTAGTATTAATGTGTGCCCCTCAAAATTAATTTCTTTTAACTCCTTGACCAAAAAAAAAAAATGTGGGGCATTTATGAAACAGTTGACTGGGACTCTTTTTTCGTCATGTGACTAGACTGCCGCAGGAAAAAAAAAAAAAAAGTTTAAGCACACCTTTCTCTTCACACATTTTAATTTTTTTTCTGTACAGTTACAGGCTATTTTTGGACATTAGGGGGCTTGTGGTTTCGGTCTATTTTTAGCAAGCGTGCGTGAGGCTGCCTTCCCTAGTGTGTCTAAGGCTTCATATTATGAAGGATGTGAAGAAGCGGCACTTAGCCTGTCAGGTGTAGCTGTTTATAGTAAGTCAGTCCTGTTTACCGTTCCCATGTGAATGTGACTGTTTGACCTAATGTGCTGATGCACTAATGTTGCAAGTGGGGGCCCTTTTTCAGAGGCGGCAGGGGGAAATAATGCTGAATTCCATGTAATCTGCCTCTGAGGACACCGCTGGATATTCACCTCTGATATTCTGGATTGTCTTCTGTTTCCAGTCCTGCTTTCATTGTTTTCAGACACTATCAGTCTGTCTGGGCACCGCCATTACGTTATTGACATGTTGAAAAAACATCTTGTACGTGGAGGGAATGTTCAAGCTGCGAGGGAGGCAGGTATCGGGACAGCTAGTTCTGCACCTGGGGGGGTTGTTCTCCTTGAGTGTCCTCAGCTTGCACTAAAAGCCTCCCCGATGGACACAGCGCTGGGCCTTCGGGGGAGGTGGCCCGGCTCATCGGCTGCGTTATTCTCTGGACCGAGCAGTATCACCTGGCGGGCCCGGTTGCCACTAGCAACCCTTCCTCCATTCCCATGACATGCGCTTCAACATACAGGAGGCTCTTTTTTTGCTCTCTGTGGGGAGGAAGTCAGCCAGGGACTGAGGTTTCCATGACTTCTGTGAGTCTGCATGGAAATACAGTGTGAAGGTAAC